GTGTGGCCTAATATGCTAATTAGTTTTGTCGTCGTTGTTGTTGGGTGTGGCCTATTATGCCAATGAATACAACAAAAAAAGCCCTGCATATGCCCCTCTGCTTGAGAGACAAAGTAGTGTTGAACTCTGACCGGGGAGACTTGTGCCCTTCTAACTTTGGTGCAATGCATTATTCTTGGTAATGCATGCCAGGACCATCTCTCTTTCTCTTTTATTTTGCCACCACCCCAAACTTTGGCTGTGCTGAAATGTGCTAATAAGGTAATCTTCCTAAAAAGGGTGCAATTCTTAGAAGGATGTGTCGATGCTGAAGCCCAATTGTCCCCAGCAGAGGTGGTCAAGTAGCTCCTCTGCTATATCCTCAATCAGACAGCCAATTAGTGAAGAAGGGATGAGCCATCCTCCCTCCCTCTTTGACTGCACCCTTTCGTAACAAGCACTGGTGTTGTGTCCGCTGACCACCACCAGAGGCCAGCGCACACTCCTGAGTTTGAGTCCTTTTTAACAATGGGGACTAGGATCCTAGTCCCTCCACTGGGGGAACCAATGGGACCGTGGCGGGAATTCAAACCCGCCAATGGGACCCAGGGGCGTGTCCCCTGGTTGTGTATATAGTTGGTCTGCCGGCCGTTATTGTTTGTCTTTGTTGTGTACCAGTAAAGTATGCTGATCACTACATCAGTCTCAGTGCTTACTTCATGCGTCTAACCCACTACACTTTAACTGTGGTCAATAAAGCATGTTTTCTGAACAAAGCCAGCCCTGCAAGAGGAACTTTCTACATGGCTTGGAAGGCTGCAAAAGAGATGGCCCCCCCCCCCCCCAGCCACGGGTAAATGTTTATCCAGCTGCAATAAATACTTCCTTTTGCTGACATGCAGAGGGGAGTTTTTACACTTTGAGAGGATTTTGTTGTTCCTGAAAAGAAGCAGCCTCATTCCTAACTGGAAGCGGCACTTAAGGGCGGAGTGGCACAGCAGAAGCCGCCTGGTGCCAGTTACTTTCCCGCTTTGACTGGCAAGGGTTCTTCCTCTCTTTACAACCCTGATCCTCTGCCAAGCACAAGGCAGAGAGAGGCCAGCCGTGGCCCAGATGTCTGCAGAGAGTCTGGGTGACAGCTGGGGCCAATGTTGTTCTTGACAGTGGCTCAGCTGGGCAGCTTTAGCCGCTCTCTGGGTTTTATAGGCACTGCCTGTTGTTTTCATTTTAAACTACTGCAGTAAGTTGGAGGCTCCCGTGGGGAATTGTCTCTCCACTCCCACTCCTCATGGTCAGCCAGAGAGAGCACAAACAGAAGTGGATGGCGAGTTTCGGTACAGCCCGGAATTCTATGGCAGCTTCCCAAAGGAGGCAGCCAGGAACCAATCCTTTGCCAGGGTCCTGTGGCTCACCATAAAAATAACAAGGATGGCACCCAACCCTGTGCACGTTGTCAAAAACAATTCTTCAGCAGAGGCCCGGGAACCCTGCTCCATTTAGAGGGTCCGGAGGAATGCCTTGGGGATGATTCTCGTGGCAAAACTGGCAACGAGATGGAGTGGCTTTGCTGCCTTGGTCATGTCACGGCAGGACCAGCTGTGTCCCTGCCACAAGCCAGCCATCTTTAACTACATACCCCAAAGTATGAAGTGTCGCACACCCAAGCCGTGCTGCAAATTTAAGATCTGTGCGTAGTCTAATCCACAACGTTTTCTGTAGGATTACTGTGAGCCTTATGGAGGCAAATAGCAGGACAGACAGGTCAAAAATTAGCTTAAGAGCCTGAAATATGTATATGCAACCAGAATGTATCTGAGTATGCTTTGCAAAAATAAAATAAAATCTGACTGTAGACTTCCTGGAGAAAGCAAGCACACCCCTGCTTCATCTCATGGCCAGACTTGGGACAGCTAGGTGTCTACGCTTTGTTTTGGCTGTGAGAAAGGGTGCTCCTTCAGGACAGATGAGGCAGGCTGGGCTGAGAAGTGTCAAGAGAGCAGATCATAACTGCAGCAGTCCTAAGGTTACAAGAGCAAATCTCATGGGACCTCTGAGGAGATCTGGTTAGGACTGCGCTGTCAGTCTCTTGACGATTTGTTACTCAGAGGCCTGCAGCTGAGAGTGTGAGCTGCCTCTATCAAAAGATACAGCGTTTGATGTCAAATAATATGAAAGCCCTTAAAATTATGTCAGGTGATAGGAAAGTTCTTTTTGATCTGCTGCAGCTGCTGAACACATGGAGCTCATTCCTTGCTGCTGCATCCACAGGAAAAAACAGCTTTAAAGGGGGATTAGATAGATTCATGGATAGGGTTGCCAGGTCTTACCTGTGTCCCGGTGGAGGGGCTCCAGCCTGGCTCTTGGGGTCTTCTGGTGTGTACACAAAACACACACACTGCAATGCTGTCACCCAGAAGTGACATCATCATGCCGGACACGACGTTCAGGGGATGCTCAAGCATTTGGGTAAAAAACTTTATGGTCACCATAGTGTACAGCCAGTTTGGTGTAGTGGTTAAGAGCGCAGACTCTAATCTGGGAGAACTGGGTTTGATTCCCCACTCCTCCACATGCAGCTGCTGGTGTGACCTTGGGTCAGTCACAGTTCTCTCAGAGCTGTTCTGGAAAGAGCAGTTCTGGAAAGAGCTCTCTCAGCCCCACCTACCTCACAGGGTGTCTGTTGCGGGGAGGGGAGGGGAGGGGAAGGGACAGGAGATTGTCAACTGCTCTGAGACTCCTTCGGGTAGTGAAGGGCGGGGTACAAATCCAATCTCCTCCTCCCTCTTCTTCATCTTTGTCTTTTTCTGGTTGTCAGCACCTCTACAGAGGGTTGATCTTGGGACCTTCTGAATGCCAAGCAGATGTTCAGCCACAGCACAAGTAGTTAGGAGTTTCTATTTTTGTATAAATTACACACTTTTCTCTAAATGGCTTTCTCTCATCTCTGATCAATGGATTGTGGATAATTAATCAGCTGCTGCTGCTATAGTGCCTTGACTTCTTCCGTGATACATTGAAAATGTTTTTTCATTATTGTATCCCATCAACACAAAGTCCGAAGAGCAATTGGCTCCTGTACAGCAAGCCCGGCATGCATCTTTTGGCTTTTTGCTGCCCCCTAGTGCTAAAAAAATTCAATGCTTTTAAGACTCAATAGACAATGTTTGCTTAGGCTGGATTCTGGCATTGGTGGTGGTGGTGCATTTGTCCCAGGTTTGCCTCTGTTTTTCCAAATATCTATTAACTTAGGCTGGATTCTGGCATTGGTGGTGGTGGGGAGTCAAGACTGGTTTGAAGGAGAGACCAGTGTTCACGCTGTGTGCATTTGTCCCAGGTTTGCCTCTGGTTTTCCAAATATCTATTCACCCTTTGTCCAGAGGAATCACTGGGACAAAATCAAGAAGAGCTGCGGCATTTGTCTGTTCCAGTCTAAAAAGCTCCTTGTGGTACCTGGATATATAGAGTCATAAGCTTTCGTGAGCCAGAGCTCTTTCTGTCAGCTACAGAGCAAGATTTCTGTGAAGTTCCACATTCAAGCTTACTGTGATCAAGTTGCTTGTTTTCTCATTAGCCGAGTTTCTTATGAAATCATCTTAATGTTGATCTAGTACACTGAGCCTGTGTGTGTACACCTTATGTGTAAAGGAGGTTGGAAGAATGTGTGGATTTGGTGGCTCAGGGCAAAGGGCAAGATCCCAGCCTCCCAACCCCTCCGCATTCATTACACAGAGAATTGGACTGACTGAGCAAGATTTTTGTAAGCATACATTAAAGACACGTTTAAGGGGACATAGCAGCGTTGCCAGCAGCTTTACCTCCATGTAGAATATTTGTATGAATGTAGACAGATGGACACATATACCCCTCCTGTTCCAGATTTATTGCATTGTGTTGGAAGACCTGTCAGACTAACACAGCGTCAGGGCCAATTGACACATTATGGGGTACATGAGTTGAGTTCTGGGTCCCCATTCTGTATCCCAACAACCAGACAGGAGTTGTAGATTCTCCTTAGTTCCCCCATGTACAGTGTCTGATTCGGATCACGACTGTGGCACGTGTGGAGAAGAGGCTTCAGGCTACCCCTCCCTGCACTGTTTCCCTGACCTGAAGGTCTGGGGGTATGTGTCACTATTCCGCCCACTAGTGCGGGAGGAAGACCTTTTCCCACGTGTGCTGTAGCCACAATCTGAATTGGTCACTATGCGTGGGGGTATTGTGGAGGACTCTCCACTCATAGAACCTCAGTCTCAAGAGCAGTGTTCCCTCTAAGCTGAGTTAGCGTGAGCCAGCTCACCGTTTTTTAGCCTCCGGCTCACACAATGTTGCCTTAGCTCTGGAAGGATGGCTCCAAAGCAAACTAATTCATGGGCCAATTGACACATTATGGGGTACATAAGTTGGGTTCAGGGTCCCCATTCTGTATCCCAACAACCAGACAGGAGTTGTAGATTCTCCTTAGTTCCCCCATGTTTCGGATCACGACTGTGGCACATGTGGAGAAGAGGCTTCAGGCTACCCATCCCTCCACTGTTTCCCTGACCTGAAGGTGTGGGGGGATGTGTCACTATTCCGCCCACTAGTGCAGGAGGAAGGCTGAAGCCCTTTTCCCACGTGTGCTGTAGCCACAATCTGAATGGGTCACTATGCGTGGGGGTATTGTGGAGGACTCTCCACTCATAGGGCCCCAGTCTCAAGAGCAGTGTTCCCTGTAAGCTGAGTTAGCGTGAGCCAGCTCACCGTTTTTTAGCCTCCAGCTCACACAATGTTGCCTTAGCTCTGGAAGGATGGCTCCAAAGCAAACTAATTTATGCAGTAGCCAAATCGCCCGCTCACAACTTTAATGCCAGAAGCTCACAAAGTAGAATTTTTGCTCACAGGACTCCACAGCTTAGAGGGAACATTGCTCAAGAGTAGTGTAGGTATTGGCCCACACATTTGAAGCAAGCCCTAGGTACTTTGCTAGAACCATATGGTCAGTCCGTAATCTCGTTCTACATTCCTTATCTCTCGGCAATTAGGTATCGCACATTCTTCAGACCCAGATACAAGATTGGCTACAAGACCGTGACTGAGTTAGTGTGGAGATGCTGCCCAGGCCTCATGGGAGAGGGGTGCCACGACAGTCCGACTGACCAGCCGGGGCTTCTGCCCCAGCACACCAGTCCCAAGATGCCTCCTACTCAGAAGTTGTTCCCAGGTCCTAGAGTTCCTCCTCACCCCAAAATACATCCTGATCCATTTCCAGGACCACAGAAAAATCATTACGGTGAGTGACGGAACCTTCTTCTTAGACCATCCTTATGATGATTGACTTCGGTGGCTGGTTTCTAAGAATATGGATTTGGAACCTAGCAGGTCCTAGAGTTCCTCCTCACCCCAAAATACATCCTGATCCATTTCCAGGACCACAGAAAAATCATTACGGTGAGTGACGGAACCTTCTTTTTAGACCATCCTTATGATTATTGACTTCGGTGGCTGGTTTCTAAGAATAAGGATTTGGAACCTAGCTACGTAATCCAAATCCGACCTGATTTTGCCTGGTCCATTAACCTCAGAAGAGTAATCCAAGTGAAATTACTGCAGACTTTCTGGTCCAAAGTGACCGGGCTATTTCTTCTGGCAGCTCCGTGGTGTCTGTGGCCGCACTCTGCTCTCTATTACCATTTCCCTGCGTTTTCTGTTTCCTCACAGGCACAGGAAAGCAGAATCGAAGGGGACTAGTAGTGACCATTCATGTTAAACATCAAGATGCCAGTGGAGAGAAGGGATGGAGAAAGCCTCATCCCTGAGTCTCTGTGTGTCTGCTCTTCAAAGGAGAATTCTGATGTCCAATAAAGTGAGGGCCCTGTCTCCTCTCTGTCTGCAGTTTAGCAGGGAAATTCTCTTGGGTGAGGGCTGATCTATGAGGATTTCAACCCTGCTAGATGGGGGGAAACGTTTAGAACTAGAAATGTTACATGCCTTTCCTTGCCTGTGGACCAGAGAGACTTTTTCCTATCTACCTGAAATCTCCTAAGTATTCCTTAGTAGAGGGGTGCATTTTCTAAGAATTATGTTCCAGTTTGGACAGGAGCAAGTTACCTTTATTTATGCATGTATCTTCCATTGAAGCCAATGGGACTGACAGTTTAACTAATCCAGATTAGTACAATATTAAAGAATATGAACAAAACCATTAATGGAAACAATTACCCGAATCCAGACCCAAATAACGCTTCTCCGCAATTTCCTAGGGATACACTTTCATAAATATAAATCGGAAATGCAAAAACTAACACAATGATAAGAATCCTCAGCCCTCCGGAAGATCCCCAGGGAGAATAGGGGGCCATGAAGAGGATAAAGCAAGGAGCTCTGCCTTGCTGCTTCTGCTCATGGAGAGTCTGCTCTATGAGTGACAATGGCTTTGGAGGCTTTTAGGGGATTGGCCACCCCTGCAGTGTGTATTAACATAGGGAAGCAGTGAGGGAGTAACTTGCTACACCAGTATTGCCCATTCCATAAAATGGAGGGACACTTCAAAAGCAGGAAGCCCTTGCTTCTCAGGCTCCTCTCATGCCAAGACAACAGGGGAAGGCCAAGGCCTCTGTGCCCTCTTGTTGGCCCTCTAGAGGAACTGGTTGGCCAGTGCATGAGACAAGATGTTGGACCAGATGACCACTGGTCTGACCCAGCAGGGCTCTTCCTCTGTTCTTAAATCAGCAATCCTATAAGGCTTTAACTGAAAAGTTAAGGCACAGTGAACAGGGCTGCCCAGACTGAATATGCCTAGCACAGTAAATTCACACAGATCTACTCTCAGCTGTCTACTATGGACAGAGGCTGTGCTGTTCATTGATACGTGATACAACAGCCACACCAAAACCCTGGTCTGACCCAGCAGGGCTCTTCCTCTGTTCTTAAATCAGCAATCCTATAAGGCTTTAACTGAAAAGTTAAGGCACAGTGAACAGGGCTGCCCAGACTGAATATGCCTAGCGCAGTAAATTCGCTCAGATCTACTCTCAGCTGTCTACTATGGACAGAGGCTGTGCTGTTCATTGATACGTGATACAACAGCCACACCAAAACCCAGTCTGAACAGCAAGCCCCAAAGGGGTTAAACACTTCAATTTGTCCTTAGTTACAGTTCAATTCACCTATTGGGTAGAATGTATACAATCTTTTGGGTTTTCCTTCCACTTTCTGATAGTAGCCATCTATGTATCTGTTAGCCTGATCTTGTCAGATCTCGCAAGCTGAGCAGAGTAAGCCATGGTTAGTACTTGGATGGGAGACCACCAAGCAAGGCTGGGTTTACTATGGAAATGCAGGCCATGGCAAACCACCTCTGTTCATCTCTTGTGCTGAAAACCCTATGGGGTTGCCGTAGGTCAGCTTCAACTTGATTACACTTTCCACAACATGTACCAGTTAGTAAACATGCATACATGAACTTCTAGGGTTGACTTCTTCCTTTGCAGTGCATGCTAAGCATGGGGCCAGTTCACATGGCTGCAGAAGCACTATGAGAACACAAAGAAAATGCCTGTCTGCCTGTACTTTCAGTTTATAACACGTGCATTGAACAGGAAAGTCCCGGAGGTGCCCATCTGAACATGCACCGCTTGGCACTGATTATGACTGCTGTCTTCTTGTTGCTTACAGGTAGAAAAATGCCTGGTTTGATTGGAGACAGGATAGACCGGCTAGAGGAGGAAGTCAGGCGTCTCTCACAGTCCTACGACAGCCTGCACACCATGGTGAGCGGCCTGGGGGACCACTTGCGGCTAGCCATCCAGGAGGACACCAGTAAGATGATTGGATCCCTGATGAACAGCCCAAGTGTGCCCGATTCAACCATGGGATTCGGGGTCATTCCTGATGGGATTGTGGATGCAGCAGACAAAGCTGACCTTTCCCCTTATCCTCCGGTGGGCGAGATCCTAAGCAAAGTGACCGAGGTGAGTGATGCACTGAAAACCAAGACCGATCTTCTGGATGAGGTACATGGCATGGTCCTTGATCACGATGGACAGATCAAGCATCTTCTGGAGTCAGCCCGGCCATCACCCCTCACCTCCATCGAGATGCTTGAAGAGTACGTGGACAGCAGGCTTAGCAACCTACGGGTAGAGCTGCTGGATGGCTTTGAGAAGAAACTGGTGAACATCCAGAACACGTGTGATTATCGGATCAAGGAAGTGCAAGAGCAGTGTGAAGAAGAGAAAGCTGCCAACCTGCGCCTCCAACAGACCCTAGATGGCAAAGAACTAGAGATCAAGAAGGAGATCTCTCAGCTAGAAACCCAGATCCAAGGGCTTACAGTCGTGGAAAGCTGCTGCAGCAACTTGAACTACCTCACCAAACGGATGGATATCCTAGAGAAAGGCCTACACAGCATATCCGAGTCTCAGAAGAATCTGCACTCCAGGTTGGATAATGAACTTTCTACAGTCACCTTGGGGAGCCTCTTTGAAGGGCGCTTTGAGGACCTCGAGGGCAGGCTGAATGTCTCGGAGAGGGAAACAGGAAGTTGTTGTTCCACTGTAGAGGATTCTATGAGAGGCCTTCTGGGGTCAGAGTTGGATGGCGCGAGGACCTTGTTTGATGACAAAATGAGAACATTGGAAGACAGGTTCATGACCATTGTAGGAGAAGTGAACAACATCAGCTCCACGGTGGGAGTGGATGGAGCTGTAATGCCATTCCTGGAGGGAGAGCTTGCTACTGTAAGGCAGGAAACCAACGAGAAGCTGGAGATTCTGCAGAGTCGGATGATGGCCTTGGAGAGCACCTGCTCGCTGGGGTGCACATCTACTTCCAAAGATGTAGAGATCTTCCGTACGGAGATCGAAGACTGCCAAAGCAAGAACCAGGATCTGCTGCTTCGGATGGACAGCAACTCTGACCTGCTGCGGAAGCTGAATGCCACCATTCTGGAGATCCAGAGGCGGATTGAGGGAGAGGCATCGGGTGCCTTGCAAGGAGAGATCACGCTTCTGAAGATCAATCTGAATACAATGAGCAAATCCCTCACCGGGCTGAAGGATTCTGTTTCCCAGTACTCAGACACTGTGCTGCATGTCAACTCATCTCTAGACGAGCGTGAACGCAAGATAGAGGACGAGGTCTACTCCATACAGGAGAAGATCAGTGACCAAGGCTCCCAGCTACTGTTCAGCAACAGGCGTGTCCTGAACCTAAAAGGGGACCTCGAGCGGCTCAAGTCCAGGATCATCAATGACCTGAGCAACTGCAAGAACGTGGCTCATAACCTGCAGAAGGAAGTGCTCCATTTTGATGACCGTGTGGCTCAGGTGGAGGACATGTGCGGCAGACTCGGTACGGTAACGGGAAGCTTGGATCGCATCCGAAATGAGTTGGAGAACAATGCAGGAACTGTGTGGGGCTACATGGACCATATGAACAAGACCTTATCTGCCCACTCTCAGGAAATAACCCTACTCAAGGACAACTTGTTGGATTGCCAAGCTAAAGTCACAGAATTAGCTGAAGACATCAGTCTTTTAGAAGGCAAGCTGCAAGACCGCCACCATTAGCTATAGCAGACGTGTCCTGAAGTACAACTAACTTATACCATGAAGACTCCAATGTGATATCAGGAATTGTTTGGGGTTGGGTTGTTGTTGTTTTTTAATTCAAGAGGAGAAGGGAAGGTTACAAAAAAGTTAAAAGCTGCTATAAGTCTCTTGCCTCACTCTTAGGGTGAACAGTCTTCACGACAGCTAAAGCTGTACCTTTGCCATTACTGTACTCTCTTGCAGACATTTAGCAGCTGTACTATGTAGCAAGAAGTGCCTTCCCATAGTTGGGGTCATGTTTGGGTTACATTTCAGTATGTTGTTTAATTCAGGAAGAAACTGGAGACAGACCTGTCTAATAGATTCTTTGCTTGGGGAATAATTAAAACTCTGGTATTTAAGAGCTGAAACAGTGAAATTCAGTTCCTACCGACTATATGAATATACTGGAAGCAATGATCCGGTTCAGGGACCATTCAAGGCAATATCACCATCTATGAGCAAACTCTGATTTAAAACAAAGACCTTTTCTTGTTGTTCTGTTTTGTACTAAAGTACAAAATCTGGACTGGAATTCTTCATGGCAGCACTGACTGGTATATGAGACACTCAATTCAGAAGACAACAGGTATCACGGAGGTATACGGTCCGAAAACACATCTGTGTGCACTATCTTCTCCCTCTGTTGGACTCCGAGTTACCACGTTCCCTGTATGAAGGAAGGTGTGGATGGGGGCATTGCATTTGTAATAACATTTGTAATAGTTTTGGATCCGGGTTTTGGGTAGGGCACAGCTTTGGTTATCCTGACTCTTCAGAATTGTTGTTACCAGTTCAGGATTTTGGGGGGGGTGTCCCAAAAATTTGGGACCAGTATTTTTTTCTTCCCCTACCTAGGCAGCAGGAGTAGGGAGGGAGGGAGGAAGGAAAAGAGGGGATGCCAGTCCCAAACTTGCCGTGCCAGCGTCAGCCCAGCATCAGAGGTGGCAGAGCCTGCCCCACAACTAGAAAATGCCAGGCTGCTCCAGGAGTCCGAGACTTGGATGCCACAGCAGCTATTTCCTGGCCCCATTACTTTTTAAAATTGCTAATTGAACAGCATTATTTTGATATGAGCATACAACAATACATGTATCAGGTTCTCCGAATCCCCAGCTTTCATTAAAAAAAAAAAAAAGCAAGCAATTCTCTGCTGCCTTTGATACCAGTGGTACGAAGGAGCCTCCAGCAGGGGCAATGCTGGCGTGGTAAGTCCGGGGCAAGTTTGGTCTGTTCCCTTTCAAAATGTAAAGGGATATGGGTGACGGCCAAATCAATCTGATCATCAGCTGTCAGTCAGCAACTCTACTTGTTTCCTGGGCCGGCTTCCTCTCTTTTCATCCTCACTCCTGTTCCTTCTCAAAACCATGAAATACTCCTGAAATTCAGGGAGATAAATTTTCATTACTCCTGGAATTCTGGGAGCGTTATGGGATATTCTGGGTATCCTTGAGCTAACTTGAAACAGCTAATTTGGGGTATAATTTCGGCTCAGGGATACACTCCTGTGTACACTCCTATGGTGCTATATCCCCTAGCTTCTCAGATAGGTGGAAGAAAGGAAAGTTATATAGTGCCGCAGTGACAAACTACCCTGCCTGTCCTGTCTGCCTGTCCTTGTGCCAGAATACATAGTGGTCTGTACATTACAGCCACCGTATGAAGGCTGCACAAAATTACTACACGTGGACGTGGCAGCTATGAAATGCTCCAGTTGCATGGTAAGTCATTGAAAAAACAAGTGGCTTAACACGAGATTGACCAAGTTGTCGCATAGAGAGGGAGGGTCTGTGGCTCAGTGGCTTTCATTTGCTTATTTTCTTCTTCAGGGAAGTAGCGGCAGCCCCTTCTCAGCTGCACACCTGCCTGTGACCACAGAGAGAGACTGAAAAGTGGGCCAAAGCAGGTGTGCAGCTGTTTAAAAGCACATTGGGACAAGGCTGAGGGAGTAGAACCACACTGTTGGCCCCACCCCCTGGCTGTCCACATACTCAGTGGAACATCTGCAGTGAGCCTTATGGTTGTTCAAGTGTATATACATAGGGCTTGCTGCAGATGTCCTACTGCGTGTACACACATCAGCTCATCCACACAATCAAGAGATCTGCCCCCCCAAAACCCTCAATTGCATGGAGAAGTCTACCCTTGCGTGTGCATAAGACTCACTGCAGACATTCAGCTGAACATGTGGATGTTCCTGGGGTGGGGTTTGCAGGCACAATACTGCTCCCCCACCCCCTTTACAGGCATACAATGAGTGTGCTTTTAACACCTCTCTGGATCACAGCAGCACTACTGCCAACCGCCACCACCAGGGAATTGCCGCAAGATGTACCCGTGTCACGTTTATGTCACCCTTTTATTTCTCCATGTGACTGGAATGACTGGTAATGAGTAGGGTTGCCAGGTCCCTATCTTTTGCTGGCGGGACTCCAGCCCACTCTCCTGGATGTAGTTGTGCTCACGAAGCACATGCACTGTGATGATGTCACCCAGAAGTGACATCATTGTGCTAGGCACGTCGTGGAGGACGCTCTAGCATTTGGTCAAAAACTATTGTCACCATAGAGTTTTTAGCCAAATGCTAGAGCATCGCTCCCGTGACGTGCCCGGTGGAATGATGTCACCTCCAGGCGTGGTGGGACTCTTTGGGGGTGGGGCTCCCCTGTGGCCTGAAATCAGGGGGAAACCCACCCCCATCGGGGGATGGCAAACCCAGTGACGAGTGCATGGAGAAACAAGTTACTAACGTGGACTCAACTGAGCATTTCTTCAGGAGGAAAGATTCCCACCTGTGGAGTGTGACTTTCTTATGTCCCTGTCCTGTTGCATCCCAAAATGCCCTCAAATTCTGTTCCTCCCAGGAGAACCATTTCAGAGGGTGGGAAGAGGCAAGAAAGTCATGCACCAGGGGCAGAAATCCTTCCACCCATAGAATTGCTTGGCTGGAATCTGAGCCACTCTCTGAACAAGGCCAGAAACTTAACTGATGTCTGAACTAAAGTCTGGGGTTGGTTCCCACAGATTCCCAGCTGGAAATCCTGCACAGGCAGTGGGTGGGTGGGCCTTTGTTCTCACCTTCGTCTATAGAACACCATGTGATGCAGGGCAGGTATAGCTATATTGATGCACACATGCACTCACTTCCTGTGATTGTTCCACCTCTTCTGAAAAGGGGGATAATCACTCACAGGGGGCTCGCGACATCATGGGCATAACACCGGTCTACCCTACAGGACTGTTTTAAGGATTATGAAGCTAATGTCTGTGAGACAGCACACTTGAAATATGCTTTATAAATGCTAAGGATTTTTATTAAACTAGCAGAACTCCTTTCATTACGACTGACAATGTAAGTGCATTGAAAGAAGGCCTATATGTCATGGGGGCCTCTGGGAGGCAGGGGGGAGAACACACCGCCTTGGGTACAAAGAAGGTCCCTGCCCTTGTGAACCAGGGGCAGAGGGTAGTTCTGTCCACCACTGCTGTATATTACTGATCTAGAAGGAGCAGCAGCTGAAATACTCCAATATGGAAGAAAAGTAAAGTAGTGCAGATGAGGCCACCAGGGATATAGAGATGAGTCAACCTAACCCCCTGCCTCTGGTGAGTGCAGCCCCTGAAGTCTATCCCTCCTTCACAGTACCATCCCAAGTTCTGTCTTGTGGATGGAAAAGGACTCCTCAAACCACTTTTTTACATAGCTATCCACTCATCACTGTATTAGCCACACAAAAGCAATTCGGTTACTGTTTTGACTCTCTCTTCAGCCTAGAAACATTCCCTTTTTATCTGACCCCATAACTGTGTGCTCTCTTCTCATTGGCATTGCCAGCTACACCTGGCAACCCCCTCTCCTCCCCCAACAGGAATTGGAGAGCAGAGACAGGTGTGCTGGCATTGCATGGGCACACAACCTCACTTCCGGTGAAAACAACACACTAGGATCCACCCAAAAGCGAGGTCTGAGTGCTAGAATATCACCCCCAAGGTGATGACGTCACTAACGGTAACACACTAGGATCCACCCAAAAGCGAGGTCTGAGTGCTAGAATATCACCCCCAAGGTGATGACGTCACTAACGGTTTTTGCCAGAAGTGACGTGGTGCACTGGCATGCCCCCATTTTCTCCCCACCAGCCTTGGAAAAGCCAGTGGGGAAGAAAGAGAAGCACTGGAAGACCTGGCCTGTCTGCCTTCCACAGGCATCTCTGAATCCCTGTATCTGGGGATTTTCCCTCTCTCTCTCTTATTTATTTATTTATTGTTTATATTTATATCCCACCTTTCCAGGTATCTGGCTCAAGGCGGCTAACAACATTACTCTCTCTCGTAGCATTCATACTTTTGTGTCAGTTTTTCTCCCTCATCGCATACCTTCACTGCCACACCTCAGTTATCCTTTTTTTAAAAAAAACCCATCTACCACCAACAGATCTCTCTGCACTTCCCCATCTCTCAGCTCACCTTGTCCTTGCTCTTTCATCTCTGCCCCCCCACCCGGTCTCTATTTGTTGAGTTGAATGGCAAAAGCACACAAGGCTTTCATTCTCCCAGCAATCTGCCTACTAAGGGAATCTGAGATGTAAGCAGATCATACAGCATAGCTGGCTAGCAAAACTAGCACAACTTGACACCACAGCCTATGAATCCAGAAGAATAGGAACAATGGAAATATAGTGACATGGGCATTCTTCTCCCCATTCCCTTTGGATGGGCTTGGACTGGCCTTGTCACCATTGGGAGGACTGGAGGCAGCGGGAGAATGGAAAAAAAACCCTTACTGGTATCATGAGCATGATGACATAACTTCTGGGGGAAATCTGGAAGTGACAGCAGTAGTGCTAGGAATTGCTGAAACTTTATGGTTTCACCATAAAGTTTCTAGTGATTCTTAGAGCTACCACTGTTGCTTCCAGGTTTTCCCCAGAAGTGGCATCATCATGGCCAGAATGCTGCCCCCCCCCAATGTCCCTGCCCTCAGCTCTCCTGCTGGTTGCTTGGTTTGGCATGGCGACCCTATTCCAAACTGTTAACTGAAAACATGGAGTGAATGGAAGCAAAAAGAAACAATAATGCAGACTCTCTTGGCTTCAGATATTGAAACTTTTATTGACACGTCTGCAAAGCAGAGTCTTTCAGCTCCAAAGTGCATTAATCATGGGCCAGCAGATGCATCACAACACAACTAGCTCACAGGATTTCTTTTCCTTCTTGTTATACTTTCTGCTAAGGCATCCCTTAATAGTGCTACAGCTCTGTCAAGGTTTACAAAAAAAGAGGGAAGTAAAAGTGAGGTAGAAGAAGAATGAGAGTCTTTCAGCTAAATCTTAGTTTCCTAAGTTTACAACAGTTTACAACAGTACCAATGTCCAGTGAGAAACGTGTGCAGGCCCCAGTCCATGGCTATCTGCAATAAGCTATAGCTACAATAACCAAGGACAATAGTGACCATGGCACAAGAACTGGGGCGTCAGAACCACTGCATAATCCCTCGAATGTGGCTCAACAGCTTGTCTTTCATTCAACATTCCATGTAGAAAAAGGCACCACTCCACAAAGCAATGCATTCTAAAAAAAACCCTCACAATGCTTCCTGATTTCAGTGCAATGTCTAAAAGCACATCACTGTAATAGTAGAACCTGGGGGTGGGGTGGGGGGGCTGATGCACATTACTGTCCCCAGGAAGGACAGAGTTACAGTAAAGATGCAGAGGCACCTGCACCCCCTTCAGAAGCAGTATGCCTTTTAAATTATTTTACCCAACAAGATAAAACATTCCATTTTCAAAAGTTACTGTAAGCAACTGAGACAGGAACTGAGTAATGGTTTAAACAGACTTGAAGGAGGTAGAACAATGACATTTCCTGCAGTGGTGCAGAACCCTTGCTTTTGTCCTATTGTCATCTCTGGTCAAATTATCAAACAACTGGACAAAATGGGGAAGAAGTTGTCCTTGAGTGGTTGTTTTTTTTAAGTACAATGAGGTTCAGAATGAAACAGACAGACAGTTAAGGCACTAAGAATCTAATCACATCCCAGTGCCACTGCTGAGCTATCGCCATAATCTGATACTGTTTGTCAGATCAAGCCAGAAGAATGACTGAACAAGTCATTCAATATCACTGCAGTGGGATGGAGTTCTAAAACATGCATTAGTTCTCTTGTTCTCCTTCCAAAACATATGGCTTCTGTCAACACTTTCCACATAGGCTATGGGGTGAAGATAAAGGTGTGTGTGCATGAATAGCAGCCATCATCAATCTTTGGATAAATCCAACAGGAATCCTCTTTCCAACTTCAAGGACAGATGCAACTCAAAATCCTATATGAACCTTGCAAATGTTCCAAGTTCACGAAAAAGTGCATTCAGTCATAGGGCATATATAAGTTCATCAGAACCTGGACTGAGAGACCTCTTCCAGAGCAGTGAAAACAGAAGACGTTTCAGTGCCAAAATGCAAGTCCATCACAGTGCAGAAGATATACTCAGCCCATCCACTCTATCAGAGGCCAAACAGCTAAATATCCTTCAGGATGATGCTTCAGTGGCTCACAATCTTCACTCAAAATCTTCTAAGTCAACAGCAGGCAAGGAAGTTCTCCAGTAAGAAAAGTGGCTATATTCTGGGCACTCCATGGAAAAGCTCACATCCTCGCCAATGGGTGGAAAGATGAGATCTACTATTTCACTCAGCCGTTCATACCTAGAGGAAACAGGGCATGAAGCATTAAAGTCAGCAAGCCTCCTTTTTTGCATCTGCATCTCCTGCACTGGAGCATTTATCTCCCTTGCATTTTAATAAAGCAAGAAATGCAATGCACATGCATGCACTTGATATGTGGAAAGAAAGTATTACAATGCATCAGGGCTAGCAAAAGAGTGGGAGCAGATATAATTCACACCACAGGAACACCACCAAAACTGCACCCTTCTCACATATTCCCTCATGAAATATTTGGCATGTTCACCATGTAATAGGGTTGCATCACAGAGTTTTGCCTGCCACATTCAACGTCTACAGCAGAGGATGATGGAGGTGAGCAAACTCATAAGACTAGATCTAACCAGGTTTTCCATTTGTCAAAAAGACCTGAGGGTTCCTCTGATAACACCTAAAAAGCCCAAGCTTGGGATTGTGAGACCTGCATGAACAAAAGCCATATATTATGGGGCTGTAAACAAGATTAAGAACATAAGAGCTCTCCTAGATGTCAATCTAGTCCAGCATACTGCTTCATATAGTGGCCAACCAGTTGCCTTGGAGGGACAAACAGGCCCTCCCCTGCGGCTGCCTCCCAGCACTGGGATTCAGAGGTTTGCTGCCTCTGTAGATGGAAGCTCCCTGCAGTCACCATGACTTGTAGCCATTGATGGACCTCTCCTCTGTGAATTGGTCTAACCCCCCTTTTACAATTATTTATGCTTATGGCCATCACTACCTTCACTTGTAGTGAATTCCACACTTTAATTACCTGTTGAGTAAAGAAGTCCTTTTATCTGTCTGAACTTATTTCTCATCTACTTAATTGGATGCTCCAAAACTCTAGTGTTATGGGAGAAGCAGAAATGCACCCTCTATCCACCCTATGAATAATTATATAAACCCCTATCCTGTCCTTCCTAAGCTGTCTCTTTTTTCTAGACTGAAAAGCCCCAGACTCTCTAGCCTTTCTTTATAGAAAAGGTGGTCCAACCTTCTAATCTTTGTTGCCTTCCTTTGTATTTTTCCCAGCTCTGCAATATGCTTTTTGTGATATAGTGGCCAGAACTGCACACAGTATTCCTGTTGGAAGTGGAGGACTGTACGCTGTCTCCTACTTCAGACCACAGAGACAGCACCATAGATTTAGATAGACAGAGGGTGTCAGGACACACGGGGCATCCTTTCCTTCCTGTTATCTGATACTATCCCTTTGAAGTAGAATGCTGTTCTTAGGGACAAGACTTCCTTCCTTCCGCTCTCTCTCTCTCCAACACAGATGAAGAAGGAGCATGCTTTCAGTCTTTGGCACCATGATGCAAGGACATGCATATTGCATCTGCATCCATCATAGCTAGTTACATTAGATTCTATCCCTATCTCTCACCTATACTATCTAAAATGGAGTTTCCTAAATAAAGGACTCTTATTAGTCTGAAACTTACAAAAGGCTCAGTGTATCTTTGCTAGCACACACAGTACCAAGAAGCTGCTTCTGCCTGTAAGCCTAGTGCATCCTGCTACCTAATAGAGATTCCTGGCTATGCCATACCAGCAGTGGTCCCTCTATGCTGTGGAGTCTTGTGAGCAAAAATTCTACTCTGTGAGCTACCGGCATTAAAGTTGTGAGCGAGCAATTTGGCTGCTGCATGAATTAGTTTGCTCTGGAGCTGTCCTTCCTTAGCTGAGACAGAAATCTGTCGGCTGGAGGCTAAAAAACTGTGAGCTAGCTCACACTAACTCAGCTAGAGGGAACACTGCATACCAGTGAATCTAACAATTTCAAATGATGCTGTGCATCACAACATTGGCCATTTTATTGTCAATCCTGTTCCTAATAATTCCTAGCATGAAGTCTACCTTTTTCACCACTGCCACACATTGGGTCAACATTTTCATTGAGCTTTCCACTATAACCCCAAGATCTCTTTCAATCTTAGTTTCAGATAGTTCAGACCCCCATCAACGTTTATGTATTTTTTACTCCAATATGAATCACCTTAGCACACTGAACCTTGTCTGCCATGTTGCTCCAAGATCTCTTTCAATCTTAGTTTCAGCTAGTTCAGACCCCATCAACGTGTATGTATTTTTACTCCAATATGTATCACCTTAACACACTGAACCTGATCTGCCATGTTGCCACTCACCCAATTTAAAAAGATCTTCCTGTAGCTCTTCATAACCTGCCTTGGTTTTCACTATCCTGAATAGCCTGATATTGTCTGCAAACTTGGCCAAACTTGGCTCACCCCCAATTCCAAACAATTTCTGAAGAGATTAAATAGTGCCTGTTTCTCCACCATCTCTCCCTCTTCCTTTTATTTCTTCGTCATCCAAAGGCCCAACTGCCTCCCTGGCCAGTTTCCTGCTCCTGATATATTTGAAGAATTGCTTTTTGCTTGACTTAAAAGGTTTTGACCATCTGCTTCCCAAATTCTTTTTGCTTGCCTTACTGTTGACTTACATTTGTTTTGCCAGAACCTGTGTTCTTTTCTGTTCTGACCGAGAGATAAAGCTAGATGGCGCCTGCCCATAAGGCAATTTCATGTCATATGTGAACTTTTCTGGGGCAGTCGGGTGGAGAATAAGGAGAACACTCATTTTCTTGCAGCAGAATGTGACTTCACTTGTGTTTCAACACCATCTACACATTGCCCAGCAGACAGTTTTACACACTATGAAGATAATGCACCAGATATGTTTGGAAGCTTACGTAGATTTGTGGATCTTCACAAACTCTTGGATTAGTTCTCCCTTGGGGTTCACAGTAAATATACGCGATTCTGGCAGATCCACTTCCTTGTAGGCATGAACATCCTACTCAAAACACAACAGAACAGGACAAAGGGTCCAAACAATGCAGGCTTTGCTCAGAAGGAACCAAGAGGAGAGACCCTCACTTCCCCATAACAAATGGCCCATACTCACATTTGTTCTGTTCCCAAAGGCAGCATGGAATGGCTGCCTGTTGGAGCCGAACAGGTTACGGATATCTGTTAGGCAGGCAATTTTGAACACCTCTGGCTTCTTCTCAATCACTTCCCTACAATGCAGTGAGCACAGACATTCCACGAGTGTCAGAGCAGTGTGGGTTCTCCCCTCCACCCTCCCCCATGGGCAGCTGTGAAATTGGTGTTCTGCCCCCTTCCCTAGCCAAGTAAGGATTTCAAATGGAAAAAAAAATGATGTAAAAAAACATATACACACCATTCCAACATTCCATTACTTTCCAATAGTCCATTGGACATGGAAAGGACATATACATTGTTGGATTTTGCACAGTCCTAATCATTCACCTCTTGCATTTTCCTATCCACACATCTGCCCCCTTCATACACATCTTCAAGTAATTGGGGGGACATGCACAAAAAGCACCCATTGTCATGTGCCAAATATGAAATTTCAAGAAGCCATTGTCTGCTATACATCCCCTGCTACAGTGAGATGTGCACACCTCTTTACATTTTATAATGCTCCACTGCCAACACTAGTATAGGAAACATGGCTTTTGTGTAAAAGGTCTCCATTCTGATTTTCAGTTCTGGGATTCGATAATTTGGGGATGTCTGAATGCACAGAAATGCCAACTGTTGCTGGTGTTCACCATATTCACATATAGGACATTAAATTAAAATATGTGAAGTTAGGTCTAGCACACAATGCACCTCAAATGTGTATCTCTGTGCTGAATTGGCTTCCCTGCTGTTTCTGCACTGATTAAAACCTGTGGAGAACGGATAATAAAAGCGGGCCTGCAGAAGTCATATCCGAAGACCCATCATTATGGAGAGAGCTTACCTATGAAGAGCTGAGAAGAGGCTGCTAGGTGCCAGCAGGATGGGGCCTTTTGGGAGTACACAGCCCTCGTCTTTGACACACTCCAGGTATCCTTTGGTGATATGAGCCATCCCAATGGTTCTGGCTGAACAGTAGAGAAACTTGTATCCATTCCTAGAGTGGAGAAGGCAGAACTAAAATGAGTGATGGTCATGCTTAACCCATTGTTCTTCAGCTCCAGGTACAGTGAAGGGCAAGGATGTGATATTGCACTGAAACACATTCAATCCCAATTATTAGAACTGTGCCAAATATGCATCCATTTTGGGTCTGGGGGCAAAAACAATATTTTCAGAGAGTCAGAAATGTTTCCCCCAAACTGCCGCTCTGGACAGTGTTCTTTTTTTGCAAAACCTACGCATGGTCAATATTCCCACCAGTCTGCCGGGCCTGCTTGGGTACCATTTTTCTTTTACTATGCAATCCTAGCCAATCAGAAACCATATAAGGAAAATAATAATGATATATAGGAAAACAGACCAGGGTATGTGCCAACATCAATGGACGATGCTTCCTGCACTGGCAATTCTAAGCCATCAGGAACGTGAGAGCAAAATAAAAATCTATTCAGGTATCCGGATTTCCACACACATGAATTATTACAAATCCTAAAACTGATATGAAGTATTCTAAATAAACATGTCTCGCCAGAATGTCAATTCAAATATACCTCAGAACTTCGAACTTTTCACCTAATATAACCATGTTCTAATATTGAATAAATAGCATCTTTTTAATACATATTATATACATTTCCTGAAAATATTGCTCTTCCCCACAGAAGTCTGTCAATCCTAAACTTGCTCATAATGCTCAAAACCCATACTTGGCTCTACCAAATATTCATTTTAAGAAAGCTTTTTCGCTTCCAATACTGGGCGATCAGTACCCTGACAACTGTTCACACAGACCAAGTACTGAGGCTCTTTTCTCACAAACAGCTGTTTATACCTCAAGAGGAGAAGGAATGGATCACAAAGAATCGCATATTTCAAAGTGTAATTTAAAATGCTGAAAGTTGCTAACCAACATTTTAGTCTACTTCTTTGAACAGGGTCTGGCAAGACTATCAGCCTTACGCAGAATTTGGGCTCACTAACAACCTGCCACAAAGAAGGGGAAACTGTCCTACCATAATACCCTAGAAACCACTTATACAATAGTCTATAGAACGGTGGCGATGGATAACTGGGATAGGCAGAAGGGCATCAAGATAAGGTAGGCACATTTTAAGAAGGTGGATCAAAAACTAGCCAAACACTTCCTAGAGGAGTTTGGTGGTGTAAAACGTTAATTTAATTTACAATGCAATCCTAAACAGAGTTACACCCCTCTAAGCCCACTGACTTCAATGAGCTTAGAGAGGTGTAACTCTGTTTAGGATTGCCCTAAGAAACAATTTTCTCCATTGCAGGAGAAAGTGTAAAAACTCACCTTATTCCCAGGTGCCAATAAGGAGAAGAAGGGAAATGATTCATAGATCCACGTGATCCTGTAAAGGAGCTGGAAGAGGGACCCTGGAAGGGACTACAGCAAATTACCTGTAAAGCCTTCACACATATCTAGTACTTACATTTCCCTAAATGTGGTAAGATGTGACCTAGAGCATCAGATCTGATGAAAAGCAAGAGAAATAATTAGAAACATGCATGTACACATCACCCAAATTTGAACCCCAACCTGAGCTATAATGCCCAAAGTTCACTGTATAGTGAATAGTTGGCGATCATGCACCCATGCCAAAGGGTGCAAAATGGAAAACTACCATGGCAGCCACTTACTTGGTGATGGTTCCATCGATGTCAGAGATCACCACCTTGTCATCCCAGTTCCACAGGTAGATGGTGGCTTCACAACGACATGTGCCCTGGTACTGTGTGGTCACACTGAATGCTACCTCATTGGGGCCATCCCTCAGGTTCAGACTCTTCTACAGTCAAGAGAATTTTTTAAAAAACACATTCAGTGTTGGAGCCCTTATTAAAGAGATCCAGTTATATACATTCATGCAGCCCATTCCTATGTCTGGTTACTTGGAATTAAGTCCCAGAGTTCACTGGTACTGACTTCCAAATAAATGTGACTTCCAAATAAATGTGAACAGCATGCCTTCGTTCAGAGAACAATGGACCCCGCCCCCAGGCTGAATAGGGCCATAGGACTCTTATCTCACTACAGATACTAATTTTCTGTCCCTCGGGCACACTTCCCCTCTGCCCTAATCAAGCTGATTACAATATGCACTGTACCTTTGCATCCTTTACAACAACCCTCCCACCTTGTATGACTGTGATGTAAAGACTCAGGGATCTCTGTTCCCACTTGCGTCTGACAAAGGGAGCTTTGGCTCTCCAAAGCTTCTACTTTGAAACTAGTTGGTCTCTAAGGTGCTTCTGGATTTGAATCTAGCTGCTCTCTGCAGACCAACAGACCAACCCTCTGAAACTTAGTCCATCAATGACTAACTGCATCCATCCCCCCCCTTTTTCAATCTGTTCCCAACCACCATGCATGCAAATAGCAATTTCCATTTTGTTCTGAGTTTTTAAAACTCAGACAGGAGCTGATTTCCCCCCTAATTAGTAAGGATTCTCCTTCTCCAAATGCTGAGACTTTTGGCTATTGAGCGATGAAGAAAGATGGGTTACACACAGGGTTGCTAGATTTTTGGCTGCCCTTGTAGAAATATGGAAACATTTTAAAGCAACTGCATAAACCCTATTGTTATGTTATTGCTTTCCATTAATTGCTTAATCATAAACTCTCAGCAGCTGTTGAGCCCACTGGGTCGAATGAACAGTAACAGGGGGGAAAACGAAAGAATTCCCATTTTCCATCCAAAATCCAGCTTTCCTCAAAGTTTCGCACACCCTTCAGAACATCTGGAAGAGTAAAGCTGGAAAGAATTAACTCAATTCTCCAACTCTACATTATCAATGCTCTGCAGAAGCAGAACCCAAAATTAAGCGCCATGAAAGTGGCACTGAATTCAGTGCAAGTGCCGAGCCCATGCTTGAATTCTCTCCCACTGAAAATCCACAGGGTTTGTTTTTTAACAAAATAATACACTTTGGCTGAACCATGCCATGCCCCTGGTTGTTAGGTATTTTCAACCACAGAAGCTGAACGTGAACAAAGATAATTTTCTAGGGGGCTCTGGAATTAGGCTAAGGCAAAGGCAGTAGCTTCAGGGACCAAGTTCTGCATTCCCACTATTGTACCATCCCTCCAGGAGACAGAGCACAAGTCACTCCTTCCTTCCTCATTCCCCAGGCAACTTTAAAGACTGTGAAGCAGGCTGTGCATGCCCAGTGGGGCTTCTTGACAATTCAGAAAGCCTCCCTGGGGAATGAGGAGGGAAGGCATATCAGGTGCTCCAACTCCTGGACAAGGACAACGAGAGTAGAGAAGAGCAAGAGCCCCGTAGCACCTTAAAAACTAACAAAATATAAGAACATAAGAACATAAGAGACGCCAATGTTGGATCAGGCCAAAGGCCCATCCAGTCCAACACTCTGTGTCACACAGTGGCCAAAAATACCAGGTGCCATCAGGAGGTTCACCAGTGGGGCCAGGACATTAGAAGCCCTCCCACTGTTGCCCCCCCCCAAAGCACCAAGAAGACAGAGCATCACTTGCCCCAGATATGAGGCAGGGTATGAGCTTTCGTGAGTCACTGCTCTCTTCTTCAGAAAGTAGGGACAGTGGCAAGAGCTCTTGGCGGGGCAGCCCCAGGAGGCACCCATTGTTAAGCCACAGCTGAACATCTATATTCATCGTTTGTACATCCGCCTTCCTTTTTTCATCTCCCCAGTGTAATGTTAGGGTCTCTAATATACAACGACAGCAGCTGTTCCATAGCATGCTTGGAGTGACACTTCTTTCCGCTTGGTTTAAAGAGAAGCGTAACTGTTTATGCTTGTACATCTAAACCTCACAGCAGGGCACCGTTCAGACAGATGCCGTCAGAAAAGGGTTTAGCCTACAAAGTCTCACTCCCTTCTTTCTCTTCAAAAGCCTCCCACCCAAGTGCTAAGCCAGCCATGACCCTCCTGAGCTGGTTTTTGATCTGTGACTCACAGCCATGCTGCACAGAACCACTCAAAAGCAATGCCAAAGAGGCAGAGTTGTTCAGAGGACCATCTGATCAGTTTCAGACAGTTACTTGACATCTGTTAAATACACAACTAGTAAGAGTAAAAGCCTGAAAAACCACGTACAATTTGATCTGAAGACAGTCTAAGGGATTTCTTGTAGGTTGGAAGAAACTTTTGCGTAATACAATCTGGTACGGGTCTGACCCCTCGGCCTGAAGATACAGACCCATCGTCACTGGATGAAGCATCGTCCCTGTTTCTGTATTATCATGGAAACAGAGTGAGACAGAATTAAAAAGCAAACAAGCAGAGATCCAAAAATATTGGTCAAATCCCAAAGGGAAGCTTTAGCCCAAAATAATGCTAGAGGATAACATTGGAAATGATTGCCATGAAGCATAAACTCAACTAGATGTTCAGTAGGTTCTAAGCAGTACGTCTTTTCCTTCTAGGGCTCTCCCACTCAATATATGGCATAACCTTGGATTAACACTACCAGAATAACGCCCTTGAAGAATGGAGGAAGAGAAAAAAGAGAGTCTGGGGTGGACAGATGATGTTCAGGAGTTTTAAAAACAGATTTGGGACAACCACCTACCATCCCATAGCCACCCAATTGCCAAGTTGGGTACCCAAAGGTTGGGTGAGAGAAAACTATGAGAAATACATGAAACAAAATATATGTATTTCTTACAAAGTGCACTACAACTGTACTTTAAAAACATAGACCCTTTCTGCCCTTGAAGAAGCGAATATTTGAACTAAGAAGTCCTGAATCTATACAACATGATACAATTCAATATCTCTAGGTTAAGAGGCTTGAACCAATAAAAAAGGACCAACAATTCAATACTTGTAGGTTGATGATCTTGAACCATATTAAAACAGGACCAAATGTGTTTTGGCCTCCAAGGACTTCCTCTGTGGTCAAATTATTGTATACATGCACACTATTGGATACAGTTGCCGAGCCACATGTTAGCATCAAAGCAGACTGATTAATGCCTGATTAAAAGGCAGAATGGCTGATTAAAAGGCATTCCAAATATTCCATGTGGCAAAAGAATTCAGTGGTATGAAAGATTTTCTTAAACTTTTAAGCACACACATCCAGAGAATCCAGATTCAACAACTCCTTCTGACCATGGGCTCTCAAAACCCTTGGAGTGTGCATATAAGTATCAGCAGGGGTCATTTCGTAGAAAAAGAGGTGCAGGAGCTCATTAGCATAACTTATTAGTATGAGTTATTTGCATATGCCACACCCCTGACATCACTGGAAGTGTGTCAGAAGGCAACACCCACTGCTTAGGCTTCACTGGACTGTTTTGGATTGCTAGCTATTGGGGGGGGGAACGTGCAGATCTGTCCTCGCAGAGGAGGGAGAGCTTGTACCTGAATAAAATTTGGTCTTAAAGGTGCCACTGGAATCTTTTGGATTGCTAGCTGGGGGGGGGGGGCGTGCAGATTTGCCCTCACAGAGGAGGGGGAGCTTGTACCTGAACTGAAGGCAGGCGGGGGGGGGGGCTCTGCAACTTACCTGGCTGTTTCTTGCTCCTTGTGACCCAACTGAGGGCTGCTGGGAGCAGGGGGCGGGGCTTGTTGCATGTGCCCACCCCCTGGGCTCCTTACTGCCAGAGCTCCGCTCCTGTGCGCTCCCACAGGAAATGACCCCTGTGTATCAGCCTTTAACTAACACACACTACTGGCTAGCAGATAAGGTAGCAAAAGATTAAGAGACTTAAGAGATGGAATAAGCATCCCCCACAGTTAGTGAGGGGAAACAGCAGACCCCACACATGTTTGTTAGAATTTCTGATTAACGAAAAACTTCCAAGTGAGGGCTGCTTCGCCCGGCATTAGAAACAATCGGGTTTGCTATTACCCTACCTCACATTACTCTATAGTGGTTTATTGTGATTTTTAAAAACATGGCTACAGATAGATGTGCTTCATTTATCCTGTATCTTTCAGCCACAGTTGGGGAATGAAGAATAAACATACATAAATTAGCCAACAAGGAGAAAAAGTAGAGTCAGAGGTAAGTTTGGGCAAGATGGTAATGGCCAGGGCCCTTTTTGTAGAAAAAGCCCAGCAGGAACTCATTAGCATAATAGGCCACACCCAACAGCAGGAACTCATTAGCGTATTGGGCCACACCCCTGACAGCACAGCTCATTAGCACATTAGGCTGCACCCCCATGTTACCAGAAGTGTGGTCATCCAGCCACACCCACCTTTTGCTTCTTATTCTGTTTACCTTGTTTGTTCTCAAAACCCAGGGCCTTTTTTTGTAGCAGGAACTCCTTTGCATATTAGGCCACATACCCCTAATGTAGCCAATACGATACTAATGAGTTTCTGCTTTTGGGTGTGGCCTATTATGCTAATGAGTTCCTGCTGGGCGTGGCCAACTTGGGAGCCAGCCGGAACTCTGTTCCTGTGCGTTCCTGCCCAAAAATAGCCCTGGTAATGACTGATTTTGATTTTCTAGGTGGAGGGTGCATGCACATGTGGCCTTAGGACTGGCTAGACCGGGGGGAAACTGAGTCTCTTGAATCACCATGGTCTTGATATACAGTCCATATCTGTGGGAGACTGGGACAAACCCACTTAATCAGATGTTTCCAAGAGGTTCCCCCGCCCACTTCAGTTTTGAGAAAGGGAACCTCTACCTGTTTAGGGACAGAAGCAGGAACCCTCTCAGACAAGTAGGAACCCCCTCGCTGCTTTTGGAGGTGGATAGGGAAGAAGTCCCCTCAGCGTAGACTTTTTCCTTTCCTGAATGTACAGGATATTAAAGGTTCCCTTGCGCTTATCATTTTCATATCAAACAACCCTCTTGGTAGCTATGAGCCACAGAAAAACTGCATAACCTTGTCTTCTGACAATTCAGGGACAAGATGAAACAGTTCTGCAAGATTCCATAATTGACCGTTTCCTCATTACAGTATCACCCTTCCCACCATCATTCTCCATGAAAACATTAAAATACATCACCTCTGCTGAAAGGACTCAGTCGGATGCATTTTCTGGGTGCTGGTTTCTGGCTATGAACACAAGAGGTTGACAATGGTTAAGCTACCTTCGATATCTTCTTGCTTGTGCAGTAGCAGTTAATGGATCAAGCACTAAACTGAAGTCTCATAAATGCTACAGAGCAAGGCCAGCATTAGCATATCTGGAGGTGGGGCTTCCGGCAGGGCCCAATGCTGCCAAGCCCCCCCCCCCATTTGCTAGCATTCCACCATGATCCCAGCTACACTCACTGCCCAGTGCTGCTAAAAAAGGTCTGCAGGCGGTGGTGAGCAGCAGCAGCAGCAGAGCTCACAAATTGGGAGAACACACAAGCCAGAGGGAGGCATGCCCTAGGACAGTGATGGCGAACCTTTTAGAGACCGAGTGCCCAAGCTGCGACCCAAAACCCACTTATTTATCGCAAAGTGCCAACACAGCAATTTAACCTGAATACTGAGGTTTTACTTTAGAAAAAACAACTCATACATTAACCTAAGATGATCCAAACAAAGTAAGGAAAGCAATCCCAAATGCTTTCATTAAAATTATTTGGCAGAGAATTCGACACTTTAATGATGGTCTGGGCCTGGCTGCAGCGATGGCATGAGTGCCCACGGAGAGGGCTCTGAGTGCCACCTCTGGCACCCGTGCCATAGGTTCGCCACCACTGCCCTAGGAACTCTCTGCCCAGGGCCCCTGAAACCCTGGAACCGGCCCTCCTACAGAGGACTGGGTGTGAATGCTTCTCCTAACACAGCTCCACATATCAAAGAAAACCTGTCACTGAGGCAATTAAGAGGAAACTCCTGTGACCCACATGATCAACTGACCCTCAGAAGTCATGTGGTTAAGCCTCAGGTGTGAGTAATTGGAGGAAAGGGATGGAAACAAAACTTGAGAAAGTCTGCTACACAGTCTGTCTTGATCTAGCATGAGGAGATTCTGCTCTAGTAGCTGGGCCTAAGCCTCCAGTTAGGCAAGACAGGAGATGCCGAGGAGGAAGCCAGACTTCTGAGAATGAATTACAAAGCAGGAGTTTTCGACTAAACATTAGGAAGAACTTCCTGACAGTTAGAGCGGTGCCTCAGTGGAACAGGCTTCTTCAGGAGGTGGTGGGCTCTCCTTTGGAGATTTTCAAACAGAGGCTGGATGGCCAACTGACAACAATGCAGATTCTGTGAACTTAGGCAGATCATGAGAGGGAGGACAGGAAGGGAGGACACATTAGTTCTTAATTCTTGTGGCCCTTTCTTACACGCCCAGGGAAATGCTGACCCCCACTTTGGGGTCAGGAAGCAGTTTTTCTCCATGCCAGTATTTTGGAGATCCTGGAGGTGTTTTGTCATCTTCTGGGTATGGAACAGCAGTCACTGGGGATCTGGAGGGGGAGGTAGTTGTGAATTTCCTGCATTGTTCCATGGGTTGGACTAGATGACCCTGGAGGTCCCTTCCAACTCTATGATTCTATGACTGGAACAAAGGTACATATATATAGAACCTAGAGACAGGAGAGTACTGGCAGTACTGAGCAAACAAGGGAGGCAGGCAGCTTGCTAGTCATTCAAAGGGACAGAGTTGCTAGACCTTGAGTGGAAGACTGTCAGAGGAAGTGGGCCAAGTAGCTTCTACTGTTCTTGCAGCAATGGTCAAAGCACAGTAGGGGACATTGTTTCCTCTAAGCTGCGTTAGTGTGAGCTAACTCACCGTTTTTTAGCCTCCAGCTCACACGTTTTTGTCTCGGCTCAGGAAGGATGGCTCCAGAGCAAACTAATTTATATAGTAGCCAAATTGCTTGCTCACAATTTTAATGCCAGTAGCTCACAAAGTAGAATTTTTGCTCACAAGACTCCACAGCTTAGAGGGAGCATTGGTGGGGCATGGAGGAGGAACACAGCTGAACTTTAATTTGAACCAACTTTAGCTGCAGACTTGCTTGTTGCTTATAAAACTAATCCCACAAAAATAATTCAATCAGAGATATATACAAATCATTTGCCCAAAATTTATCCTGAGGAAACATTTCTGTTCCAAACACATCAAGCCTGTCTGGTGTGGTAGTCTCCTTCCTGTGCCACTGCAGTTACCTCAGAAGTTAGAGATACACAGAACAGCCAGTAATTCATGTTTCTGACATGGTGCTGACACATCCCAACAGCAGGGGATAATGCTGGCATTACATTACCATGTATCGTTGATCTTTCTGGAGTGGCAAAGACACACCAACATTTCCCAAGGAAGGGTGTAAATATTTTCCCTCAGAATATGCTACTATCCATTTACAAATCAGTTTACTAATCCATCTGAAGCCCACCCAACTGAAACCTTTTTGTTTTGGGTTTGGTTGAGCAGGACACACAATTTCTTCTCTTAGCATGGTTTCAGGAATATCACATCTACCTCCTCACTGGAAAGTTCTCGTCTCCTCCAAGAAAACCACCACCGGCCACCCCTTTTGGGCATCTTTTCCTTCATGAGTCTGTCAACAGTACTCTGCAAGAGACAGAAGGAAATTAGGGCAAAGATGAAACTTTTCAGCTGTGACTCACGTTCCAACACAAAAGAGTTGATCTACATACCTATGACAGGAAGATCTTATGACCTTAACTAGAAACACCAATTAATTATACAGAAAGAACTTAGACACCAGTAACCAGCCTGCCCTGGTATGATTACCCAACTGAGGACAACCCCAACGGCTTTGCCAGGAAATAACTCATCAGCCCCACATCATCCACTCCTCAAGCAGGAGACATCATGCATGGATACAGCCCTCACCAAAACTGCTGAAGCTGTACACAGGAACCCAGTAGAGAAGTATGCCTAGGAAGGTAGAAGTTTAAGAGTACATCCTGAAGCCTCCAGAATGAGCACCAATTCAACCAAAGCAAGTGATGAGTTTTCATGCTAGACTGCTGGAGTAGCAGAGGTTTATAGAATGCTCTTGATGTTTGGGGGACAATATTTACTACAGAGTGTGGGCAAATTTAGCTACAGAATAATCCATAAGATCTTATAATTATTGGAAGGTGATCACATGAACCAGATACTGAGTAAGACCACTGGTATATCAAGCTCGGTATTGCCTGTTCTGATTGACACCAGATTTCCAAGGCCGTGGGGAGAGATCTTTCCCATCACCTACTATCAGTCCTTTTAATGGAAGATGCCAGGGACTGAATCTAAAACCTTCTCCTTGGAAGGCAGATATTCTACCATTGGCACCTAACATTTTTTGCTAATGGGGGTGCCTAGTTCCTCAGAATATTAATCTTTACAATTACCTTTTCCATCATCTTGTTAATAGTACACATTATTAGATAAATGATATTAGCAATTCTACATCTAATTTTTTTTAATTAAAAAAGCTGAACTCCTTCAGTAGGACTCCGAATCTCACCATTTATCCTGTAATATATTTAAATATTTCTTTATAGGCATTTATTCAAGTTTACAGCACTGGTGTATCTTTCTATCTATTAGTAGTCCAAAATAATATTTATAATTGTTGGAAAAGAACCACCATGTGAGCAGTTTTACTAATATAGAAGAAGAAGAAGAAGAAGAAGAAGAAGAAGAAGAAGAAGAAGAAGAAGAAGAAGAAGAAGAAGAAGAAGAGGAGGAGATTGGATTTATACCCCGCCCTTCACTTGGAGTCTCAGAGCGGCTTACAAACTCCTTCCCCTTCCCCTCCCCACAACAGACACCCTGTGAGGTGGGTGGGGCTGAGAGAGCTCTGACACAAACTGCTCTTTTTCAAGGACAGCTGTGCCAGAGCTTGTGACTGACCCAAGGTCACATCAGCAGGTGCAAGTGAAGGAGTGGGGAATCAAACCCGGTTCTCCCAGATTAGAGTCCGCGCACTTAACCACTACACCAAACTGACCAAGGGCTTTTTAGTCTATCTGAACATTAGAGAGAGGTATAGCTTTTGCCTACTCCTGCCTCTCATTGTGCTTCCTTTTTGCCTTATATCCTGAAGATCTTTGTGCTTCCTCTTTGCTTTATATCATGCCTTACATCTGGAAGATCTCTCTGTTGTTGGAAGGCCTACAGTTAGTTAATACTTCATGCAAATCTTCTTGTTGCAGTAAAATTTTTAGAATGCCACTTCGGTTGTGTGGGACTGGATTTTTTCTCCAACTCTGCTAACAGGTTATAGGCCCAAGACCACAAGATAAGTTGCAAGAAAGCTATAACAATAAGAAAGGAAGGCATATCCAGAGAAGGATAGTAAGCAGTGAAGATCTTAAGTTTGCAGTGGCCAAACTGAGTAATGACAATTATCAGTTGTGGAAATTCAAAGCAGATATACTGCTGCGCAAAGATAACCGCTGGGATGTTTTAAGCAATGACAGACCAGCTGACAATCCAGCAGAATGGGACAGGAAAAACAGGAAAGCAAATGTAGTCATAAGCCTGCAAGTGGAGGATCCATATGACAAAAGAAGACACAGCCAAAGGGTATGTGGAATGCACTCCAAAAATGCATGAACATTCAGACATAAACAGCAAGTTAAACCTTTTGTATAATATATACAAGGCGAGACTAAGCAAACAGCAGGATATGCATGAATATGTAAATGCCATGCTAGAAACTGTGGAACAGGAGATGGGCACAGACTGCATTTTTGAGGTTCACAGAATCATAGAGTTGGAAGGACTTCCAAGGTCATCTAGTCCAACCCCCTGCACAACGTTTTCTGCTCTACATGAACCGCCACAAACTGCCATGAACTGCATCAAAGTTCGTGGAAGTTCTTCAGTTAGCGAACATTGCTTTGTGAACCATGAACTGGCCAAAATTCATGATGAACTTTAGTTCATCAGCCAGTTCGTGCCCATGCCTAAACAGCAGCTTAGGCTTTGGGAAGAAACAAAAGACAGTCATGTAGTGGCACTGCCTCTCGTCTCCCAGAGTCTTATGGCCCTCTCATCAATGACCTTGAGACCAGACAGATCTAATGCTGGAATGTGTTACAGGCAAATTAATGGGAGACTACAGAGGAATTTCAGACAGACAATATAATCCGGAAGAGGAACAGTTCCCAAACGGTTTCTGGTCTGTCATTTCAGACAGAACCGTTTTAGAACCGGTTCCCTACCGGAATATATTTGTAATTTCAGACACAAATGCTTCTGTCCCGTTTAGGAAACGGGGCTGAAGCGTTTTACCTGTCAACCGCTTCCAAGTAGTCTTCAGTTTCCTCTCCCAGTTCCAATGCGCTTTTCCCCGCCGTTTTTCACCCGTGCGGGCGATCTCCAGCTTTTTAAAAACATTTGCTTTATAGCGCAATAGCACTATAGCGCTATGACGCTATAACGGAACAGCGGTATATCAACCCCATTAGAATGCCTGGAGTGTTTTGTTATAGTGCTATAGCGCTATAGTGCTATAAAGTGAACGTCCCCCCCCCCAAAAAAAAGCCGGAGATCGCCCATGCGGGCGAAAAACGGTGGGGAAAAAGTGGGGAAAAGCGGTGCAGTCTGAAATGGCAAACCGCTTCAGATCCAGCTCTTTACCGGATGGGGAAAGCCATGTGTGAAATGGCAGCCCTATACCGGTTTACTCCATGACGGATCAAAAATGGCTTCAAAACGGGTTAAAAAGGGTAATGTGAAATTCCTCTACAGTTACAGAAAGGAACTTCAAACAGGTAAAGACACTTAACAATCAGAGGCAGTCCTCAAGGTAGATGAGGGGACAGAGCACAGTAGACAGACCAGGGTGTATTATAGCTGGGAACAGACTGGACATCTGAAAAAGAACTGTTCAGTCTGGAAAGCTAAGCAGAAGACACAAATCACAGAAACATCGAAAGCAAAAGCTAAGGCAGCTCCAAGCAACTCTGCAGATGAAATATGGGATGGATGTCTAAAAGCAACACATCATGTGGTCCGTACATAGAGTTAAGGACAACAAGCCATATGATGAGAGACCAGGAGGTTCTTCATAGATCTTGGCCTCAGCATAAAGGATCTTCCTTGTTGATGGGAAAAAAATCACCGCAGAGGGAATCAGATATGGATTCTTAAAGCGCAGTAGTCCATTTAAATGGCAATGTTAACTCTTTGTGGAAAATGTCCTATATGTTCCAGAACAGAGGGAAGCCTTCTATCAGTAATGCACCTCTCTAGTAATGGTCTCAGTGCAGTTTCAAGGAAACCAATGTGAGCTTAAGAATGGGGCAGAGGTTATAGACACAGGAATGATAAGTATACGCTTCCCTTCTATAAGCTTCCCCAACAGAATGAGCAAGCTAGAACCACAAACTCATCATGACAAATGCATCCACCTGCGGCAGAGAAACCTAGAACACAAACGCCCATGAACTAGAAGACAGCTTGAAAAATCAAGATTTAAACAAAGGACATGGAAATGACATTATGTCAAATGCATATGAAGTGCATGTGTTGCATGAGTCTGAAAACATCATGCAACCCGCTCCCCAAATGTAGTCAAAGCTGGTCTACACATTCCTTGCAGGTTATCCATAGAAATATTTGGGAACCCTGAGCACTCTCACACCAAGTAGAAACAAATAGTTGGTGGCAGTTTTTGATGACTACTTCAGGTGTACTGTCATGTATCTAATGAAGCAGAAAAGTAAAATCTTTGGAAAACTTTGACAGTTTGGGGCAGCGGCCAGCCACAAATTTCAAAGGAAGCCATAAATGTTCGATACAGATGATGGGGGAGAATGTATAGGTAAAGAGGTGAAAGAATACCTGAAGGAACAGGACACTGAACACCAGGCAACTGTGCCATTCAAACCTGAGCAGGACGGAGTAGCAGAAAGAAAGAACCACACACTAGCTGAGATGCATGTTCTTGGATGCTGGATTACCATACAAGTATTGACATGAGGCGATTAAGAGAGCAGCATATTTATAAAATAGGTTGCCATTAACAGCGCTCCATATGAATTGTAGCATGGATCCAATCCAAGTGTAAAGCACATCAGAATGTTTGGGTACAAAGCCTGTACTTACATTCCCAGTGAAAGCGCTGAGCTGGACCTTAGACTCACAGAAGGTATATGAGTGGGTTACAGTGATCAGAGTTAAGGGTACAGAATCCTATTCCCAAGGACACATAAGAGCACAATATGTGGAAATGTATACTTTTGAGATTCCGTAACCAAAGCTATGCAACCCTAAACTGCTGAAGACGATTCTGATGAGCAAAAGAAGAACCACAAAGAAAAATGAAGCAGAAGTCAGCAATGCCATGTCAGAAACTCACGAGCGAACTGGAGTTAGTAAAAATGACAAGCATCAGGTGATCAAACTGGGCAGCCAAAAGAAAACCCCATAGACTTTCCTACCTAGCCGGGCTGACAAAAAAAATACCTGAACCTTCTTCTTGGGAAGATATCTCAGAGCTGCCCGAAAGCGAAGACTGAAAGTGGACAGAAGCAGTAGAAGGAGATATACGATCACCTTGCAAAAAAAGGAGTTGGACACTCTCCAAATTGTCATCTGGGCAGAAAAGTATAAGATGCAAATGAGTATGGTGGAATAACACACATGCCATTGAGAAGTAGTGTTGGAGAGGTGACAGCATGCCAGCAGTTTTATTAATGTAAATATTAACACAGGGTGTGTAGAGTCTCCTTGAATTCTAGGAAGAGCTGCAGTGCTTTCTGGCAATTGAATGCTTCTCTTGCTTTCCCCTTTTGTTGCACTTCCCTTTCTGTCTGTAAATTCTTATACCCTGAAGGTCGCTTTGCTGTTGGAAGGCATACAGTTAGTTAATGCTTTCTGCAAATCCTGTTGCTGCAGTGAACTTTACTGAACAGAACACCGCCATGGGTTGAGATTGGATTATTTCCCCAACTCTCACAATAATTGGGGTGTACTACCACATTGGAAAGATACACTTTTTCTGGTTCTAGACCCAAAAGTTTGATCAGAGATGGTAAGACTATCCAACTAGTAGAGCAGACAGACATCTCTCAAGGAAACCAATTATTTCCAGCTTTTATTTCTCTGTCCTAAATTGCTGGGGAAATCATGGTCTGGAAGCAAGAAAATTTATCATAAGCACATAGGAAAAAAAGACGGCTTGATATGCAGTGAACATCTGAAGACAGATAAAGACTCTGGGTATTTGGATGGTGAAGATCAAGGCTGATTAATTGAAAGCATCCCACTGTACCAGTCTAGGCCAAGGACCTGTTAGGGTGCAGGTGCTGGCTTGTTTATTTGCACAAATGTTGCAGCATTTTCATGAAAACTCCTGTCTAAGTTTTCTTTGTGCTTTGGAATCTAAGAATTTTAATTTTGTGGCAATTCTTACTTAAGCAACCCTGAGTTCTCCAACTTACCTTGGGAAGATTCTTTTGGAAAGCTTGTAAGGCGAGAATCATGGGAGCTGCAACTGCCCAGTTATAATATCTGCAAAGAGAGACAACTTTGCTGTCTATATAGTTTTTACTATTTTAACTGCCAGGTAGCAAAACACTGACATGCAGAACATCTTCAGAAACCACATTGTAGAAGGAGGACACCATAAGATCTCATTTTACATAAAAAGGATTGGGCTCTTACAGGGGTGTCACAGTTCAGATACTTCCGCAAGAGACAAAACAGCACAATTTGATGCTTTTTGACACTCAGGTGTTTTTCAGACTGCCTTATAATTCCACTTTCATTACCTGATGTTACTGTGTGTTTTTTCTTGTGTTCAGACAACTTCACAAACATCCCAATGCTGTCACATTTCTTCCCCATTTTTTCCATGTTCCTTTTAAAACTGTTTTCTCTCATACTTTTATTTTCATGCAAAATTAATTTGCAGGAAAGCCTCTTCCTGAGAATCTGAACATTCCCCCTGCTTTGAGAATTGCTGCCCAAACCCACCCTTCTTGGGCAGGTTTGGGTGTTTTATAAAAAACTGCATTGCAAAGGTGAAATGCTTCAGCACTGGAAGGTACCTGTGTTGAAACAAACAGTCATTCCCATTGGGTGAACCTTCCTCTTTGCTCTGCCAAGAGAGGGGGCAGAGAGAGAGTGTGTGTGTGTCTGGCCTGCTCTCCTCTCCCTGCCTTTCCCTTTCCAGCCTGAAAAAGCCTGAAGCTCACTTGCTGTTGCCTCCCCCTACACGGATTGGGGGGGGGGGATCTAACTCCAGTTCCTTAAAACCGGCTGCTGACATGTTTACCAGAACAATGCAGAATGAGACTGAAGCAGATACACATATTAATCATAAGTCTGGGAAGGGAGGGAGGGAGATGCCCTGGATCCTGTCCCCCCTCACTTTACACAAGAGTAAACATACTAAAGCATGTAAGGTGATCGCGCCCTGCCCATGTGTTCCAAGGAAGATAGGTGGAGTGAGGAGCCTACCGTAATGGTTCAGAACGTGTGCAAACAAGAAGAAGAAGAAGAAGAAAATCTACGGAACAGATGGAACCCTGAACCCTCACGAGAAGTCTGAACGGATCCCACCAATAGTGGGATCATCAGAACCAGCACTACACAAGCAAAAAGGTGAAAGGCAGCTGCAGTCTGAAAAATACAATTGTCTAGGATTCCAAAATTATTAGAAAATTTAATCAGATCCAGATGGGTAGCCATGTTGGTATGAAGAGGCAGAACAAAGTTTGAGTCCAGTGGCACCTTTAAGACCAACAAAGTTTTAATCAAGGTATGAGCTTTTGTGTGCACACACACTTCCTCAGATACCTTTCATTTCAATGTAACAGTTCATTGATATATGTAGAGGGTGAAAAGCAAATTAGTTTACAGCATAATGAGGATGTTTTTACAGATGCAGAAAACTAAACAGGAATAACAAGTTTAATTTATACGGTCAACATTTGTTTGGATGAAATTATGGATAAAACACAGTAAATATGTCAATATAGGAAACTGATTGTGTAAAAGTATCCTTCTTAATTATGGGATACTAAGGATCATTAACTGAGACCATGTTGTTACGCTCCATTCATCACCTCTCAAGCATGGAGGTAATTAACAGCATCCTTTCCTTTGAGGTGGGGTGAATAGTATTTTCCTCTTATACTAGATCAGATTAACACATTCCAATATTAATGCATTATATTACAATCACTATTCCAATATACAATTAAAAAATAAATTCACTACAATAAAGAGGATGTACAGCCTTTCTTGGCGAGAATACATATGTAAGGACTGAATGAGTTTAGCGTATGTAGAGAAACCAATATCCTTGTTAAGTCCTGGGGAGGTTTTTGTTCCGAGTGTTGTAATAATTTGTAATTCAGCAATTTTCCTATTCCTGAAGTTCCTTTGTCTGTTCCTGACGTTCCTTTGCAATAAAACAGCTACTTTGAGGTCACCCACTGAATGTCCTGGAAGGTTGAAGTGTTCTCCTACATGTTTTTCAGTCTTGTGATTCTTGATGTTAGATTTGTGTCCATTTATCCTTTGGTGTAGGGTTTGACCTGTTTGTCTTATATAGAGAACTGAAGAGCATTGTTGGCATTTAATGGCATATACGATGTTAGAAAGATGAGTGTGTGAATAAGCCTGTGTAGTTGATGTTGCTAGGTCCAGTGATTGTGTTGTCTGGGTGCATGTGGCAGCAAAGTTGGCATCTGGGTTTCTTGTAAGCCCTGGTACCAGTCTACATGCTCAAATTAGATGTAGCATTATTGTGGGTGAGGAGTTGTTTGAGATGGTGAGGGCTGTCCCCCAGATGGAACGTAACAACATGGTCTCAGTTAATGATTCTATATTGACATATTTACTGTGTTTTCCCCATAATTTAATCCAAACAAATGTTGACCATATAAACTTAACTTGTTATTCCTGTTTAGTTTTCTGCATCTGTTAAAACATCGTCATTATGCTGTAAGCTAATTTGCTGTTCACCCTCTACATATATCAATGAACTGTTACCTTCCATTTCAATGTATCTGAGGAAGTGTGTGTGTGCACAAAAGCTCATATCCTCCGGTATATATAATTCTATTTTGGTCATGGACTCCCTGAACATTCCAACACGCTCCAAAATCAGTTCGCTCTCTGATCTGTCATTCAGAGGGTCTCCCTATCCACTGGCTGCTTTGCCTGAGTCCTGCCTCCAACATTCTAAACAGTTTGCTCTTCCTCTTCCCCCCACAGCCAGTCAAAACACAAAGGTCATTTGCAGATGTGGCCTGATTCGCCTTTGCCTCAGAACACAGAGGTTGTTTACATATGCGGCCTCACTGGCCTTTCCCTCTAACATTCTAAACAGTTTGCTGTTGATGTTCTGAGGTAAAATAAATTTCCACTTAGTGTCTGTTGGGGGAAACCATGGGTGCAAATCTCCAGGTGAGGGCTGACGATCACTCAGAACTGCTTTCCAGATGGCAGAGATCAGTTCCCCTGGAGAAAATGGTACACTCCGTGCCCTTATACCCTGCTGAGATGGCCACTGTATGACAGCCAATGTGACGTAGCAGTCAGGGCTTCAGCTATTAAAACTGATGTTCAGATGACCCAGGTCAGTTCTCTTGGAGACAATGGCTGCTTTGGGCAGTAGATTTTATGGCATTATACCCTACTGAGGTCCCTCCCCACCCCAAATCCTGCCCTCCCCAGGCTCTACGCCTCAAATCTGCAGGTATTTCCCAACCCAGAGTTGGCAACCGTGTAATCAGCTATGGAACTACTTTCCAGACCCTTGGAACCCAGAAAACATGGCACAGGAGGAGGTGCTTTTCTACCTTAGCTGCCACTGCATAACACCCCCCTCCCCCTCAAAAAATAAGTCAGAGGTGGAGAGAACCATATCTGTTGCCATGAGGCTGTCCTCCCATTCTACCCACTTGGGGCAGCAAAATGACTTGAGACAGCCCTGCCTTATAGCTAAGCAGAAGGAAAGACACATGGCTTGCCTCCCTCCATTTTCCGCTTCCCTCTGCTGCCCCACCAGCCACAGTCGGGACACTCATCTGGAGCTTCCTTCTAGATCTCGTTGTATTTCTTCCCACAACGGGCATTACTCCTAGTCTTGAATAAAACTGTTAGTCTTAAAGGTGCCACTGGACTCAAACTTTATTCTAGAAAATTTATGTGTGTGATTTTTTAAAACCTCATTCTGAAATGTATAATGAAGTCTACCTCATAATACTGAACAATATTGCAGCAGTCAGTAAGACACACCTTTGATAGAATACAGGGGGTATGCCTTTTGTCCAATCCAAGAATTGCCAAAATGTGTGAGAAGGAAGGCTACATCCAAGAGTAATGCCAAACTTTTCTTTATGACAGGCATAGACATGTTCTTGTGCTTCTGGCTTGAGAATCCGTGAAATGAGATCTGATTTGTCACAGTATTCAAGTGCAAGCAAACTGGTTGCTCCCTGCAAACTGGGATGCTAAGACTTTGAGAGAGGTTTGTTGCAATGCCTGAATGCAGTGGCAACCAGAAACACAGCTACACATGTAGAAGGATATGAGGGTTTCCACTTAAACATACTAACAATTCTTAAGTTAAGAGAAAGAGGGATTTCAAAGGCCAGATAGGAACACACGTCTATGCCTGTAGAATGCAAGCTAAACTTGCAAATGCATATAAACACATTAGTTGCTTTCTGGACAGTATAGGGAAAAGCCCAAGTCCCCCAGATCATTCTACTCACTTATTATGGATCTGTACTACCAAGTTTGGATCCTCAATAACTGCTGGATTCTCTGCAAATTCTTGGTAGGAGACTACATGTTTCATAAACTCCTCTGCTAGAAGTGAAAGAGACAGGGAGAGAAGATGTCACACTGGTTCTCTAACAATCCTGCACTGTAAAACTGGGAGCAGGTAGAAGCTGCCAATCAAAAAGATGTTAAACAAAAGGGGCTATTCCATTTTACTAGGGATTTTCCATATAGGATATCTTCCTTCTTTGTACTATAGTAGATCTACAATACAAGCTATCATCAAGATTACACCAGTTTAATTGTCATGGCTTCCCCCAAAGTGTGCTGGAAACAGTAGTTTCCCGAGACTATTAAGAATGCTGTTAAAGATCTCTAACTCCCTTTTTGGAAATAGAGCCACAAAAGCTCATACCTTTATCTAATAAATAAATAAAATAAAATAAAAAATTGAATAAACCTTTGTTGGTCTTAAAGGTGCCATTGGACTGTAAATGTGTTCTTCCCTTTATGGAACTACAGTTTCCCAGACTTCCACAGGAAGGAGTGAATATTAAAACCAGCATGAGTTATCTTTTATTACTCCTGTAATTATTCTCCTTCTCCTATTATTTAGATATTTATATCCCACTTTTCTTGCCAGTAGGGACCCAAAGCAATTTACATCATCCCCCCCGCCCCCCATCTTATCCTTACAACAGCCACTCTTTTAAGTAGGTAAATGACTGGTCTGCGGTCACCCAGCAAGCTTCCCTGGCAGAATGGGGATTCAAGCCTGTATCGCCCAGCTCCTACCTATCCTACATGCTAACCACTATACCATATTGACTCTTTAGGCCTGGGGCTTTCTCAGCATCAGTCCATGACAAATGAATAGGCTGCAGGAAAGGAGCTGACCATTCATTCTTGTGTTCTGCCTTAGACTGGTTGGTGAGCCATTCTAGCTGAGTCACTGAAAGTCTCCAATACGTTTCAACAACCCATCATTACAACATAACCAACTTGCACTGGATTCTGTTCCTTTGCCCTGTAACTCTGTTCCTTTGCCAGGTAACTCTAGCATTACAGCAAATGCCAACAGACACAAAGCATCTTTGCTGGAATGTCTGAAGTCCTAAAGAATAGATTCTTCCCTTCCTTTCAGACCTACCACGAGATAATTCACCACTATCTCCAAGACCCCCACAGACAGACAGAAGGATGTGTGGCATCAGGTTACATGCCATAGGCTCCGGATTATCTGTGCCACCCTGCAGGTGAGTTCGAGAGAAGCTGCCAGGATCGGTTTGTGCTTGGCTGCTCAGCTCAGCATCACTGAAAATGAGAGAATGAGAAAGCACCAATACTATGCAACGGCATTAATATCAAGCCTTAGATTCTGAATAGAAGCAAGTTGAAAAATACAATAGGAACCCTTTATTTTGGGGGAAAAAATAATTCTCCCTTATTGAGATGACTTGATCAGCCATAACAGAATGATGCAGTTCCAATCTGCATCTCCTTTCATTAAAAAAAAATGGAAATGGACACGAGTACCTATGAAAGCAATTCCTATTCTTTGCAATCTGTTTTTTTTTAAAAAGTGTTGTAAAACTATTTCCAAAAAAGGATATTTGGGCAGGAGAGCACTGTTCATTATGGATACTGCCCTTAGGGTACCTGCCCAAGACAGCTGCCCAAAAATTTACACATGGCTAACACTGGTCCTTTTTGCCTGTAACTTGTTTCAACTTAAATACAGGTAATACAGGATTATGTCCAGTCAATATACTGAGTGGCACTCAGCCCATGGAACAGGAATTTTCCTCCACTGCCTTCCCACTGACACCAGGAGTCCCTCGAACAGGAAGGGCTGAGCGGAATGAGGAAATCTGTGGAAGCCAACCCCCCATGCCCCCCACCCCAATGAAGACTACTTCCTCTGATAGACAGTGACGGTAGATAAAAGATGACCAATGACAGCTCTATAATGTAGGTGTCAAGCCTTGGGCTATCATTCTCTCCTACACAAACGCCCAGTGCAGTAAAACTAGTGACTCAAGCTCAACATACCTTTTAGGGAAATAGAGGGCCACCTGCTCAGCATCCAGGTTTGAGAGATCCTCCAGGTAAATATCGGTTGGTCCCAGGTGAGGACTTCTCTTCACATAACCTCAAAAAAATGCAAAGGATTAAGATAAACCACCCCCTATTGTTTTTGCAAGGTGTCTCAATGATGCTATTGGCTTTCAGCCCCTGCTTACCCCTTCTCGTCTCCTGCTTCAGCTCCGAGCTATCGCTTGGTTCTGGTTGCCCCAAACTAGCTTTCGTTGGGGAAGGTGCGTCCTGATCCAAACTGGATTTTCTCGATGACGGTGCTTCACAACCCATTTCCTGATTCTGTCCAATCGTCCCTACGTTCTTCTTTTCACCATTTTCTGCAGGCTTTGCATGGCTTTGTACCTCTCCTGAGAAGGTGCACGTTGCCTCTGGATCACTGCCCACCACCTGAGCAGAAGAGGTGAGATCTCCAAAGCCATTTCCAGTAGAGAAGATGGGAGTTGGCCTAATTAAAGGAGTGACTGGGCAATGTGGTGCATTAACAGTGTCCACAGCACCCAACTGGCATTCCGAAATGGCCACAAAGTGTGTCGTCTCACTCACAGGAATGGTAGTTGGAGTGACAACTGCTGTAGTAGCAGTACTCGTGGTAGGCTTTAGCGACTCCGCTCGTTCTGATTTGCTCACCTTTACAAAAAGGAAAAGAATCTTGAACTAGGCAGTGAAAGAGCAAAGAGGGAAAGTCAAGTATATAAGGAGGGTATTTTGTGCATTTGACAGCTATTTCTTCATACCCACACACTCTTGTGCACTTATTGGATCAGGTCAAAAGGATGCTGTTTGCAATGACTTGTGGCCAGGGTGGGGGAAAGGAGAAATAAGAAAAAGATCTGTGGCAGGAGAGAAAAAGACTCCAGACCTCAGTTGTCCTATTTTTGAGATGAAGTACCCTGGAATATTTTCACACACAGAAGATGAAGCCTTGTTTTTGAAGGGCCCCCAGCTCTGGAATAGGAGCAATGACTTATCTCAGGGATACAGCTGAGGTTTTATTTTTTTAAAAATGTATCTTAAGAGTATTCCTTGCAACTGCTTTTTATCTCTATTGCTAAGAGGTACAGAGACACCCAGAGGTCATTTCGGGGGGTGTCAGCAAGCTGCCATGGTGTTCTGTGTTACTTCTGGTTGTACATATGTGATCCCTGTCCCTGCCAGCTGACCTATGTGTTTGCCTGCTGTAATGCCAAAGTAAAACAACTGGAGGATGTGAGGGGGAGAGTATGCTTCGCTGCCAGCTTGTTATTTCTCAAGCCTGAGAACTGCACCTGTGTTGTGTCTACTGTTTGCCTGGTTCCCAAGATCTGAGCAAGGAACCGTTTTCTCCTGCCCGCCGGCGGGAACGTTATCCATTGGTTCTGTATCTAACTTGAATCCCTTTATCATGTCTGCCCTAACTGCTGGTCCCCAGTTCTAACAAAGAACGTGTTTGAGTGTCTTTCCAATGCTTTGAAATAAACTTTGCTTTCTTTGAAACGTGGATTTATTCTCGATGCTTGGGGATCCAACATATTGTTAGAACTCTTTTCTTTTCCTATCGTCGATTCTGGCGAGACCATGAGCGGGTCTGAGGGAACCCTACCTACCACGGAGGGGGACACAAGATCGGTCCCCACTACCTCCGCACCTTTGATTGTTACGACTACCGCACCAGGAGAAGGTGCTGTGGGGGGAGCGATTCCCCGAATGCCTGCATACCTGTCGTGGCCGCCACCGACCCCTTCGCATTGGGGTGCGCGGAAGACCCCAGCACAGGCTTTGTATAACACCCAAGGCACCAGGGAGGTGTATTCCCGTCGAGGCAGTGGGCTTCGAGAAAGTCTTTTCGACAAAGGAATGTTTCCCGACTCCGGGAGTTCGGGGGAGACTGGGAGTTATCGGAGAGACGTGGAAGACTGGATGTTTGAACCGATGGGGGAGGGAGCCCGGGCAGGATCCTCAGAGGGAGCCGCCGACTTCCAGACGGAGGGAGACTATGGGCCGCCTCCTGAATACCAACCACGGGAGCCGATCCCGGAGGAAACGACAAGGGAACGGCTGGAGGAGCTGGAACAATCGGTGAGAGATCTGATGCGCACGGTCCACGATGTGATGGAAGCGTTACCGGGGATGATGGACATTCGAATGACTAATTTTCTAGCAGATTATGCCCCGCAGCCGCAAGTTCCACCTGCACAGGGACCACCTGCGCCACCTCTGCAAGCTCCGCCGCCGGTACTACCACCTCCACAAGCGCCACCTGTTCCGGGAGTGCCTGAACCGCCGCCACCGCCGGGGGGTCCGCAAGGGCCTCCGGGACCTGGTCTACCGCCGCCGATGGTGCCGCTGCGGGGCCCACCAGCGGTCCCGGGCCTTCCTCTCATGGGGGGTCAGGCACCGCTGGGCCCTGCGATGAGAGCTCCGCGACC